GAAGACTCCCTCTTGAGATGGTTCGTCGAATGGATGACGCCATAAGGGCGCGTCGCATCGACGACGGGGATATGCAAGTTGCATTTGCCCAGTCAAATCTGGCAGGACGTGCCAAGACTTGGGCACTGGGGCTCAAGCTGCACGACCCATACGCGTTTGGGTCGTTGGAAGTCTTCAAGTCGCGGCTCAGACAAACGTTTGAACCGCCTAGAGCTGAGTTCAGAGCTCGAACCGAACTCTTGAAGCTCAAGCAGGGTAAGCGTGATGTGCACGCTTACGCTCAACATATACGACATCTCACGAGTTGTATAAGTTCCAATCCGGTGGATGAACACACGTTGGTTTCGGTGTTCATGCAGGGTCTTGCGGATGGTCCCGTCAAGACTCACCTGTTCCGGCTTGAACTAGATTCACTAGAACAAGCCATTTCAATTGCGGAGCAGGAAGACTTCAGTCTGAGACAGGCTCGCGCCAGCTCGACATCATATCGTCAACCGAGACGATATGACAACGGAGGTCCAGAGCCGATGGAACTCTGTTATGTAGAGAGCGAGAAGGCTCGCTCTACAGGCTACAAGGTTGCAGAGATGCAACAGATGTCAAAAGACAGGACACTACGCTTACGAGTGTAGTGCCCCTCGTCCAGTGTCTCGCGACACTGGGCGTAGTGACCGTCCACCCATGAGAAAGGGGCAGGGACGCGGGTCCGCTGTTGGTGCAAAGACGCAACAAAGGGATGGACCGTCAAAAAACGGACAAGATCAGTAGGTGCGGAGCACCCTACTGGTCCAGCAACGTCAAGAGAATTTGTAGGCCTCTTGATGAAGGTTGCTCCCAACACACAAACGTTGTGCGTTGCTGCTCTAGGTAATGAGACCTCACTCATTACCTTGAAACTCGAAGTGACAAATAAGTTGTCCCTTCGAGCTCTAGTCGATTGTGGGGCGTCCAACAATTTTGTGCGACGCCAATCGCTAGAAGATGGTCACTTTAAGTTCAGTGAATGTGACACACCTCCTACGAGGATGACGGTACGTCTTGCGACAGGCGCATCCGTAACCGTCATGAAGCGTATAGTGAAGATCCACTATACGCTAGAAGATACCCAATATGACGATGACTATATCGTATTGGATTTGGATGAAAAATTTGATGTCATCCTTGGAATACCGTGGCTTAGAAGGTACAAACCACGGGTAAACTGGCAACATCGGACAGTAACGATGCCTGCCGCTTGTTCATCAGATGGCCATCTGATGAACGTTTTGGAGAGTCCACAAGCGTGTGGATGTACTACGAGTGAGTGCGATGGCCTCACTTGTGGTACGGTCGTTAGTACGACTGCACAAAACCTTAGTGTACCAAACGGTTACACTTCGGAGCAAAGTTCCGGCGGCTGTGAGGAAACACAGGCTGCGCCGAAGGTCCACCACTCGAATAAGTCGGGTGGACTGGGACAAAGATGTATCCCTAGAGGGGAACATCTAGAAGAGAAACAATCGATCGCTCAGGTTAAGCGAAACGATAATCCTAGATCGACTGGAGAGTCTTTCGTAGAGGATCTCGCCGTGGTTGCGCAACCCCAGCTAGAGGAAGTTAAGGGAATAAGTCCCGATATTACAAATACGGCGGAAATAAGTTCCCCGAAACCCGCGGGAATAAGTCCCCGGGAAGACGAAGGAATAAGTCCTTCGAAGCCTGAGGGAATAAGTCCCCAGGAAATGACAGAGACATTGAATGTCATAGTCAATAACGGATCAAGTGTAGGCGCTTATACACTTGATCTGATTGCGCCTCCGAAGTTAACTTCGGAGATCACTCAGTTGCCAACGCTCGAACATAAAAGGTTCTTGCGTGATCTGCGTAGTGGCAAAGTCAAGCAGATCTGCGTACTCGTCGCTGACGACGAGTGTGTAACCGACATAAGGTCAGCAACAGTGTTCACTGAAAACGAGAGAGTTCTCAGTAGTTCATCTATGGACGAGAGTGTCCTAGATGAAAAGACACGAATTGAGCGATATGACTCCCAATCATGGGAATCGCTCAAGAAAATCCTCTCTATGAAGATTTGGTTGAATACAAGGATGTATTCCCTGAAACCGTTCCGTGCGAATTACCGAAGGATAAAGGTATTCGACACGAGGTCGAGCTTAAACCAGGCTCGAAGTACTGTGTCATGAAGCAGTGGCCACTGCCTCGTGAACAAGTACTTGCGATCGACAAGTTCTTTGCCGATCGTTTAGCTGCGGGCCATGTGAGGGAATCAACTTCCCCACATAGCTCTCCGACCTTCTGTGTGCGAAAAGCAACAGGAGGGTGGCGGATAGTGCACGCGTTTAACAAATTGAACGCTGCAACGGTACCGGCTCAGACGCCGATACCGAGGAAGGACGTAATCATTGATGGTATGTCAAAGAGTACCATCTTTTCGTCCATGGATTTGATGGATGGCTTCTATCAAATCCTAATGCGGGAACGGGATATACCCTATACCGCAGTTAGCACGCCTAGCGGCATGCTCTGGGAATGGCTAGTAATGCCACAAGGGCTCAGTAATGCCCCTGCCACGTTCAACAGGTGTGTATCACATCTGTTGAGGCCAGTACGAGAATTCGCGCCGTGTTATTTCGATGACGTATTCATCCATAGTCGAGCTATGGATGTAAAGTCGGACGTTGAGGTTCACAAGTACCACGTCCGACAAGTTCTTACAATCATGCGAAAGCATCAATTGTATGCAAACCTCAAGAAGTGTATATTTGCAGCAAGCGAAATACCACTTCTTGGGTGCATCGTTGGTAAGAACGGTGTACGTCCTGATCCCGAAAAGATCAAGGCGATCACCGACTGGCCCGTGCCGGTCGATGTCAAAGGTCTTCGAAAATTCCTTGGGCTAGCGGCGTATTTGCATAAGTATTCACGCAATTACGCCGAGATGACTGTACACCTCTCTCGTTTGTTGAAAAGAACGAGAGGTGGTTATGGAACGCTGAATGTCAACGCTCCTTTGAGGGTATCAAGCAGAGCTTGATACAATCCCCAGTCCTAGCAATAGCCGATCAGGACAGGCCATTTCATGTGGTCTGTGATGCCAGCGATTTCGCAATCGGCTGTGCATTAATGCAGTACGACCTTGAAGGCGTTGAACGCGTCGTCTGCTATCAGTCGCGTCAGCTGCAACCAGCTGAGCGGAACTATCCAGTGCATGACAAGGAACTCCTTGCCATGAAGTATGCACTCGCGAAGTTCAGGGTCTATCTATTAGGAGATAGACCCTTCGTTGTTTACACTGACCATGCGTCCTTACGCACGGCAGTGAACAGCCCGCACCTTTCACAACGAATGGCGCGGTGGTTGTCATTCTTTGCAGAATACAACTTTACGGTCGAGTACAAACCAGGACGACTTAATGTCGTCGCTGATGCACTCTCACGTCGTCCCGACTTTGAAACAGTCGCGAAACCCAACAGTGAGACAGTCACTGTTGCGGTTATGACGTCCTCAGTTCCATCTACAACGTTGTATGATGATGTGAGGCGGGCATACGCCCAAGATGGTGAGATAGTGAAGTTGTTGTCACATCTCTCCCAACCATCTCGAGAATCGTTGAAACGATTGTCGTCTGCGTATCGATCTGCATCAGATCGATACACTACTCGTAACGGTTTACTGTACTATACAGCCGTTTCTGGTGACACACCACGTGTTGTCATTCCAGATGATACTGATCTGCGTTTGCGGATCATGTTCGAAATATCACGATGTTCCTATAGGAGGACATCGTGGCCGAGAGAAAAACATATCTCACGGTAAGTCGAGACTTTTACTGGCCCCGCCAGTATCAGTTTGTGCGAAAGTATGTTCGCGCATGCGAAGTCTGCCAACGAGTGAAGTCAAGTCCTTCACTGCGTGCACCTTTACAGCCTCTACCGGTTCCGGCTGAGTGCTGGGAATCCATCTCAATGGATTTCGTCTTCGGGTTACCCAAAGACGCACGCGGGAATGCGGGTATTCTCGTATTTGTTGACAGATTCAGCAAAATGGTACACCTTGTGGCTGTACCAGAGACAATCACGGCAAGTGGCTGTGCTTGTGTCTTTATTGACACCATCTTCCGACTTCATGGGTTGCCCCGTGAACTCGTATCAGAACAGAGATCCACGATTCACTGCTGATTTCTGGCGTTCCGTGTTCAAATCACTCGGAACGCGCTTGAAGATGTCAACATCTGATCATCCAGAGTCAGATGGTCAGACGGAACGTGCCAATCGTGTCCTTGAAGAGATACTTCGAGGATACGTACACTCCTTTAAGAGTTGGAGTGAGTTTTTGCCGATGGTAGAGTTTGCCATCAACAACTCGGTGCATGCGTCCACGACACATACACCGTTTTACGTGAATGGCTTGCGCCATCCGCGTGTACCCACCTTACTAGAGTGTAACTCTGGTTTAAGGGGGGAGGGACTCGCGCGAGCAAAAACCGATTTGGTTCACGCTCATCACGCTCTGACGAAGAAGTCATTGCGTTTGATGCCGATATCGATAACATCGATATCGAAGAAGATGATGCCAGTGAGAGTGCGGAAGCCCTCACTGAAGACAATGATCCCAGTGAGAGTGCGGAAGCCCTCACTGAAGAAAGGTTGTTGTCGCTGCAGTGCGCTCACAGCACACTGAAGCTAACGAGTCATCAGATGAGTTCATACTGGCTCGTGAAACGGTAGTCCGTTTTGTGCAAGACTCCATCGCCGAAGCGGTGGATAAGCAAAAGCAAAACGCTGACAAGAATGGAAGGGCAAACACTCTTTTATTTAATAAAGGTGACTTAGTCCTACTGTCTACGGTTAATCTACCAAAACATGTAGTGACTAACTTGGGTAGCAGTAAACTACTACCCAAGTACATTGGCCCATTTCGTGTATTGCACCGCCTAGGCAATGCATACACGATCGAGTTACCACGTAAGATGCGAACGCATCCCACGTTTTACGTTGGTCGGCTTAAGCCGTACCATCAGTACGCTGCTTCTTCCGATGAAGAACGCCCTTGCGCTCAAGCATCTCGCAGAGAGCCTTGTGCTCCCGATGGTGGGCATCAACAAGGGTCTGAAGAGCAGTTATCTCAGCCCGAGACCGATCAACAATCCCACGAGCTACCCTTAGCTCGTCACGAAGAGATGTCAGAGATCTCTCGTTCTCAAGCTGAGCAAAGGCAAACTCAGCTCGATGCTTCGAGGCAGTGTCCACCATCTGGAGACGCCTATTCCGCTCATGTTCGAGATCGTCGCGTAACCCTTGCGTTACGCGATCAAAGAAGCTCTCGGGAACACTCGGATCCCCATGATCGTGTGGAGAGCGTCTTTCCTCCTCCTCCACCTCCATTAGAGGACTCTCGCGGTGGCCAGCGCTATCTAGTAGAGCAGCTGTTGAACCACCGCGACGTGAACGGACGTCGGACGAGTTACCTCGTCCGGTGGCGCGGCTATCCCCCGTCCTGGGATTCTTGGGAGCCCCGCTCCCAATTGATGGTTGACGTACTGGGTCTGGTCGAGCAGTACGACGCGACACATCCTGTGCCGCAGAAGGACCGCCGGAGAAAGTCTTCCCGGCACGGTCGTAAAGGGATTTCAGGTTGTCAATCCCTTCGTACATCTCAGCAGAGACACGTACGCGCCACCACGGGCTGGTAAGGAGGTAAGCCTCCTTAGGTGCTCGTGCAGAGTTGTTCACACAACATGGGCACGAGTCTCCCCAAGAGAGGCAGGGTAATCCTTTCTCCCTTGACAGACGATGCAGCTTGTAGCGTGCACCTGTCGGGGTTCGCTTTTCAAACTTATCACGAGCTTTGATAAGTTTGTCGTTCCAAGCGTCACGACCTACATCCTCGAGATTATGGATGTAGGCGTTCCACGCCTGAAGTAGTGAGGGACCATCACGTTTGTGATTCCCACTGTACCATCGATGTCTGAAGAAAGCATCGATGAAGAACTCATGTTCAGCGCGATAGTCTTTCGCGCTGGGGTCAAGGTGATGGATCCTTGACGAATCGAACAATCGTGTTCGATAACGATCACTCGTCGTCGCCGACAAGTGATCCATGACAGATTTAGGAGGCATCCATGCCTTCTTTTCTGGAGCGAGACGCAACACATTGCGGTCCCGCTCTTCCTGCGACGTGCCGACAGAAGTACTGGCACCTCGCTGTGAAGTGGTGTCCATTGGAGAAACGACACCACTATTAGCGCCCGAGTCTCGCGACCTCGAGCGCCTTCGCTTCGGCGATGGTTCATCTGACTCATCAGATGAAACCAAAGATGCTGCGACGCAAAGCATCGTCCATGCCATGCTTGGCAGGCGGCTTGGATTCAATTGCCGTCGATACGGATCCGTCATCCGTATCAGGAGAGTACGAGACACCGAGCTCGTACTCTGTGAAGACACGAGTGTCTTCATGACCAGCGCCTGCATCACCAGGTGATACAGGCTGAGTCGATTCAGCAACCGATGGGATATCAGTTGCTGTAGTTTCTGCTTCGGCGTCCGCACAGAGACGTGCAGACGCGCTCTCGGCGGCCTTGCTCGCGCATCGCATGGGCTTGTTTACCATGCGATGAAATGTTGGACAGTGGACGCGGACCAACAAGTGCAAACCCCGTCCCAACTGATTTGGGACGAGTATCCATTTAGTCAATCAGTCACTAAAGTGACTGATGGTTAAGGGGGGGGTGACGTAACGGGGTGAATCGTTACATAACAATTTATAAGAAATTGTTAATAGAATATAACTATAAGAGTTATATTCTCAGAATATTGTCATAAGGACAAATATTCTGTTGCACTTACGAGTAGTTCCTAATTGGTTGATATAGGCCATTATATCAACCAACGAAGACGCGCCACGACAGACGCACGCAATGAGTGGTGAGCAGATAACTGATATGCACATTTGTATTTAGACATAGTTAGATGAAGATAAATAGTGATTTATTGCAGACATTATATATTATAAATACAGTTCTACTTTTTACTTTAACCAAGTACTCGCTTCTTCTTACCGTCTTCCTCTGCACGTACGAGTGTACGTGAAGTTCCGAGGCACCGCCTTATTCTGTCATCAGAATAAGTAGCTTGTACTGTTACCAGTACAAGCTTAAGGGTGCCCCGTTACATTCGTTGACTGTATATTGCTGTACTGTTTGTTTCATCAGCCGCTTACGCATTTGCGGAGCGCAATGCACAATGAAAAAGTCGTTACGTACTGTCGGGGAAATACCGAGTAGCGCAAATATTACGTGGTATGTAACGGGGCACCCTGAAGCTTGTACTGGTAACAGTACAAGCTACTTATTCTGATAACAGAATAAGGCGGTGCCTCGTAACTTCACGTACACTCGTACGTGCAGAGGAAGACGGTAAGAAGAAGCGAGTACTTGGTTAGAGTAAAAAGTAGAACTGTATTTATAATAGTTAATGTCTGCAATAAATCACTATTTATCTTCATCTAACTATGTCTAAATACAAATGTGTAAATCAGTTATCTGCTCACCACTCATTGCGTGCGTCTGTCGTGGCGTCTTCGTTGGTTGATATAATGGCCTATATCAACCAATTAGGAACTACTTGGAAGTGCTACAGAATATTGTCCTTATGACAATATTCTGAGAATATAACTCTTATAGTTATATTCTATTAACAATTTCTTATAAATTGTTATGTAACGATTCACCCCGTACATCACCCCCTTAACCATCAGTCACTTTAGTGACTGATTGACTAAATGGATACTCGTCCCAAATCAGTTGGGACGGGGTTTGCACTTGTTGGTCCGCGTCCACTTTCCAACATTTCATCGCATGGTAAACAAGCCCATGCGATGCGCGAGCAAGGCCGCCGAGAGCGCGTCTGCACGTCTCTGTGCGGACGCCGAAGCAGAAACTACAGCAACTGATATCCCATCGGTTGCTGAATCGACTCAGCCTGTATCACCTGGTGATGCAGGCGCTGGTCATGAAGACACTCGTGTCTTCACAGAGTACGAGCTCGGTGTCTCGCACTCTCCTGATACGGATGACGGATCCGTATCGACGGCAATTGAATCCAAGCCGCCTGCCAAGCGTGGCATGGACGATGCTTTGCGTCGCAGCATCTTTGGTTCATCTGATGAGTCAGATGAACCATCGCCGAAGCGAAGGCGCTCGAGGTCGCGAGACTCGGGCGCCAATAGTGGTGTCGTTTCTCCAATGGACACCACTTCACAGCGAGGTGCCAGTACTTCTGTCGGCACTCGCAGGAAGAGCGGGACCGCAATGTGTTGCGTCTCGCTCCAGAAAAGAAGGCATGGATGCCTCCTAAATTCGTCATGGATCACTTGTCGGCGACGACGAGTGATCGTTATCGAACACGATTGTTCGATTCGTCAAGGATTCATCACTTGACCCCAGCGCGAAAGACTATCGCGCTGAACATGAGTTCTTCATCGATGCTTTCTTCAGACATCGATGGTACAGTGGGAATCACAAACGTGATGGTCCCTCACTACTTCAGGCGTGGAACGCCTACATCCATAATCTCGAGGATGTAGGTCGTGACGCTTGGAACGACAAACTTATCAAAGCTCGTGATAAGTTTGAAAAGCGAACCCCGACAGGTGCACGCTACAAGCTGCATCGTCTGTCAAGGGAGAAAGGATTACCCTGCCTCTCTTGGGGAGACTCGTGCCCATGTTGTGTGAACAACTCTGCACGAGCACCTAAGGAGGCTTACCTCCTTACCAGCCCGTGGTGGCGCGTACGTGTCTCTACTGAGATGTACGAAGGGATTGACAACCTGAAATCCCTTTACGACCGTGCCGGGAAGACTTTCTCCGGCGGTCCTTCTGCGGCACAGGATGTGTCGCGTCGTACTGCTCGACCAGACCCAGTACGTCAACCATCAATTGGGAGCGGGGCTCCCAAGAATCCCAGGACGGGGGATAGCCTGCGCCACCGGACGAGGTAACTCCGTCCGACGTCCGTTCACGTCGCGGTGGTTCAACAGCTGCTCTACTAGATAGCGCTGGCCACCGCGAGAGTCCTCTAATGGAGGTGGAGGAGGAGGAAAGACGCTCTCCACACGATCATGTGGATCGGTGTGTTCCCGAGAGTTTTCTTTGATCGCGTAACGCAAGGGTTACGCGACGATCTCGAGCATGAGCGGAATAGGCGTCTCCAGATGGTGGACACTGCCTCGAAGCATCGAGCTGAGTTTGCCTTTGCTCAGCTTGAGAACGAGAGATCTCTGACATCTCTTCGTGACGAGCTAAGGGTAGCTCGTGGGATTGTTGATCGGTCTCGGGCTGAGATAACTGCTCTTCAGACCCTTGTTGATGCCCACCATCGGGAGCACAAGGCTCTCTGCGAGATGCTTGAGCGCAAGGGCGTTCTTCATCGGAAGAAGCAGCGTACTGATGGTACGGCTTAAGCCGACCAACGTAAAACGTGGGATGCGTTCGCATCTTACGTGGTAACTCGATCGTGTATGCATTGCCTAGGCGGTGCAATACACGAAATGGGCCAATGTACTTGGGTAGTAGTTTACTGCTACCCAAGTTAGTCACTACATGTTTTGGTAGATTAACCGTAGACAGTAGGACTAAGTCACCTTTATTAAATAAAAGAGTGTTTGCCCTTCCATTCTTGTCAGCGTTTTGCTTTTGCTTATCCACCGCTTCGGCGATGGAGTCTTGCACAAAACGGACTACCGTTTCACGAGCCAGTATGAACTCATCTGATGACTCGTTAGCTTCAGTGTGCTGTGAGCGCACTGCAGCGACAACAACCTTTTCTTCAGTGAGGGCTTCCGCACTCTCACTGGGATCATTGTCTTCAGTGAGGGCTTCCGCACTCTCACTGGCATCATCTTCTTCGATATCGATGTTATCGATATCGGCATCAAACGCAATGACTTCTTCGTCAGAGCGTGATGAGCGTGAACCAAATCGGTTTTTGCTCGCGCGAGTCCCTCCCCCTTAAACCAGAGTTACACTCTAGTAAGGTGGGTACACGCGGATGGCGCAAGCCATTCACGTAAAACGGTGTATGTGTCGTGGACGCATGCACCGAGTTGTTGATGGCAAACTCTACCATCGGCAAAAACTCACTCCAACTCTTAAAGGAGTGTACGTATCCTAGAAGTATCTCTTCAAGGACACGATTGGCACGTTCCGTCTGACCATCTGACTCTGGATGATCAGATGTTGACATCTTCAAGCGCGTTCCGAGTGATTTGAACACGGAACGCCAGAAATCAGCAGTGAATCGTGGATCTCTGTCTGATACGAGTTCACGGGGCAACCCATGAAGTCGGAAGATGGTGTCAATAAAGACACAAGCACAGCCACTTGCCGTGATTGTCTCTGGTACAGCCACAAGGTGTACCATTTTGCTGAATCTGTCAACAAATACGAGAATACCCGCATTCCCGCGTGCGTCTTTGGGTAACCCGAAGACGAAATCCATTGAGATGGATTCCCAGCACTCAGCCGGAACCGGTAGAGGCTGTAAAGGTGCACGCAGTGAAGGACTTGACTTCACTCGTTGGCAGACTTCGCATGCGCGAACATACTTTCGCACAAACTGATACTGGCGGGGCCAGTAAAAGTCTCGACTTACCGTGAGATATGTTTTCTCTCGGCCACGATGTCCTCCTATAGGAGCATCGTGATACTCGAACATGATCCGCAAACGCAGATCAGTATCATCTGGAATGACAACACGTGGTGTGTCACCAGAAACGGCTGTATAGTACAGTAAACCGTTACGAGTAGTGTATCGATCTGATGCAGATCGATACGCAGACGACAATCGTTTCAACGATTCTCGAGATGGTTGGGAGAGATGTGACAACAACTTCACTATCTCACCATCTTGGGCGTATGCCCGCCTCACATCATCATACAACGTTGTAGATGGAACTGAGGACGTCATAACCGCAACAGTGACTGTCTCACTGTTGGGTTTCGCGACTGTTTCAAAGTCGGGACGACGTGAGAGTGCATCAGCGACGACATTAAGTCGTCCTGGTTTGTACTCGACCGTAAAGTTGTATTCTGCAAAGAATGACAACCACCGCGCCATTCGTTGTGAAAGGTGTGGGCTGTTCACTGCCGTGCGTAAGGACGCATGGTCAGTGTAAACAACGAAGGGTCTATCTCCTAATAGATAGACCCTGAACTTCGCGAGTGCATACTTCATGGCAAGGAGTTCCTTGTCATGCACTGGATAGTTCCGCTCAGCTGGTTGCAGCTGACGCGACTGATAGCAGACGACGCGTTCAACGCCTTCAAGGTCGTACTGCATTAATGCACAGCCGATTGCGAAATCGCTGGCATCACAGACCACATGAAATGGCCTGTCCTGATCGGCTATTGCTAGGACTGGGGATTGTATCAAGCTCTGCTTGATACCCTCAAAGGAGCGTTGACATTCAGCGTTCCATAACCACCTCTCGTTCTTTTTCAACAAACGAGAGAGGTGTACAGTCATCTCGGCGTAATTGCGTGAATACTTATGCAAATACGCCGCTAGCCCAAGGAATTTTCGAAGACCTTTGACATCGACCGGCACGGGCCAGTCGGTGATCGCCTTGATCTTTTCGGGATCAGGACGTACACCGTTCTTACCAACGATGCACCCAAGAAGTGGTATTTCGCTTGCTGCAAATATACACTTCTTGAGGTTTGCATACAATTGATGCCTTCGCATGATTGTAAGAACTTGTCGGACGTGGTACTTATGAACCTCAACGTCCGACTTTCCATCCATAGCTCGACTATGGATGAATACGTCATCGAAATAACTCGGCGCGAATTCTCGTACCGGCCTCAACAGATGTGATACACACCTGTTGAACGTGGCAGGGGCATTACTGAGCCCTTGTGGCATTACTAGCCATTCCCAGAGCATGCCGCTAGGCGTGCTAACTGGGGTATAGGGTATATCCCGTTCCCGCATTAGGATTTGATAGAAGCCATCCATCAAATCCATGGACGAAAAGATGGTACTCTTTGACATACCATCAATGATTACGTCCTTCCTCGGTATCGGCGTCTGAGCCGGTACCGTTGCAGCGTTCAATTTGTTAAACGCGTGCACTATCCGCCACCCTCCTGTTGCTTTTCGCACACAGAAGGTCGGAGAGCTATGTGGGGAAGTTGATTCCCTCACATGGCCCGCTGCTAAACGATCGGCAAAGAACTTGTCGATCGCAAGTACTTGTTCACGAGGCAGTGGCCACTGCTTCATGACACAGTACTTCGAGCCTGGTTTAAGCTCGACTTCGTGTCGAATACCTTTATCCTTCGGTAATTCGCACGGAACAGTTTCAGGGAATACATCCTTGAATTCAACCAAATCTTCATAGAGAGGATTTTCCTTGAGCGATTCCCATGATTGGGACTCATATCGCTCAATTCGTGTCTTTTCATCTAGGACACTCTCGTCCATAGATGAACTACTGAGAACTCTCTCGTTCTCAGTAAACACTGTTGCTGACCTTATGTCGGTTACATACTCGTCTTCAGCGACGAGTATGCAGATCTGCTTGACTTTGCCACTACGCAGATCACGCAAGAATCTTTTATGTTCGAGCGTTGGCAACTGAGTGATCTCCGAAGTTAACTTCGGAGGCGCAATCAGATCAAGTGTATAAGCGCCTACACATGATCCGTTATTGACTATGACATTCAATGTCTCTGTCATTTCCTGGGGACTTATTCCCTCAGGCTTCGAAGGACTTATTCCTTCGTCTTCCCGGGGACTTATTCCCGCGGGTTTCGGGGAACTTATTTCCGCCGTATTTGTAATCTTGGGACTTATTCCCTTTACTTCCTCTAGCTGGGGTTGCGCAACCACAGCGAGATCCTCTACGAAAGACTCTCCAGTCGATCTAGGATTATCGTTTCGCTTAACCTGAGCGATCGATTGTTTCTCTTCTAGATGTTCCCCTCTAGGGATACATCTTTGTCCCAGTCCACCCGACTTATTCGAGTGGTGGACCTTCGGCGCAGCCTGTGTTTCCTCACAGCCGCCGGAACTTTGCTCCGAAGTGTAACCGTTTGGTACACTAAGGTTTTGTGCAGTCGTACTAACGACCGTACCACAAGTGAGGCCATCGCACTCACTCGTAGTACATCCACACGCTTGTGGACTCTCCAAAACGTTCATCAGATGGCCATCTGATGAACAAGCGGCAGGCATCGTTACTGTCCGATGTTGCCAATTTACCCGTGGTTCGTACCTTCTGAGCCACGGTATTCCAAGGATGACATCAAATTTGTCATCCAAATCCAATACGATATAGTCATCGTCATATTGGGTATCTTCTAGCGTATAGTGGATCTTCACTATACGCTTCATGACGGTTACGGATGCGCCTGTCGCAAGACGTACCGTCATCCTCGTAGGAGGTGTGTCACATTCACTGAACTTAAAGTGACCATCTTCTAGCGATTGGCGTCGCACAAAATTGTTGGACGCCCCACAATCGACTAGAGCTCGAAGGGACAACTTATTTGTCACTTCGAGTTTCAAGGTAATGAGTGAGGTCTCATTACCTAGAGCAGCAACGCACAATGTTTGTGTGTTGGGAGCAACCTTCATCAAGAGGCCTACAAATTCTCTTGACGTTGCTGGACCAGTAGGGTGCTCCGCACCTACTGATCCTGTCCGTTTTTTGACGGTCCATCCCTTTGTTGCGTCTTTGCACCAACAGCGGACCCGCGTCCCTGCCCCTTGGGTGGACGGTCACTACGCCCAGTGTTGCGAGACACTGGACGAGGGGCACTACACTCGTAAGCGTAGTGTCCTGTCTTTTGACATCTGTTGCATCTCTGCAACTTCTTGTAGTCTGTAGAGCGAGCCTTCTCGCTCTCTACATAACAGAGTTCCATCGGCTCTGGACCTCCGCTGTCATATCGTCTCGGTTGACGATATGATGTCGAGCTGGCGCGAGCCTGTCTCAGACTGAAGTCTTCCTGTTCCGCAATGGAAATTGCTTGTTCTAGTGAATCTAGCTCGAGTCGGAACAGGTGAGTCTTGACGGGACCGTCCGCAAGACCCTGCATGAACACCGAAACCAACGTGTGTTCATCCACCGGGTTGGAACTTATACAACTCGTGAGATGTCGTATATGTTGCGCGTAAGCGTGCACATCACGCTTACCCTGCTTGAGCTTCAAGAGTTCGGTTCGAGCTCTGAACTCAGCTCTAGGCGGTTCAAACGTTTGTCTGAGCCGCGACTTGAAGACTTCCAACGACCCAAACGCGTATGGGTCGTGCAACTTGAGCCCCAGTGCCCAAGTCTTGGCACGTCCTGCCAGATTTGACTGGGCAAATGCAACTTGCATATCCCCGTCGTCGATGCGACGCGCCCTTATGGCGTCATCCAATTCGACGAACCATCTCAAGAGGGAGTCTTCTTCGACCCCCTATACTTTGAGATGTCAATCTTCAAAGTCTCGGGCCGACGCGAGTGCATCGACCCGCCAGCAGCAGCCTGCTGCTGTCTCAACAGTTCAAACTGTTGAGCACCTTGTTCTCTCAACAACTCTGCTTGTTGAGAACCTTGTTGGTGAAGCAAGGCTACTTTCTCGCAGTTCTGCGTCAAGTTCATTTTGAATGAACTTGGCGATAGTAGCATGTTGGGCATCTCTATTGAGAGCCTCTAGCATGACGCTAACAGCATGGATGCCCATGGTCGAACCCATTCGTTCAACCGCATCCCATTCGACATCGCTCAAATGGGAGTAGCCGTCACGCGTAGCGTGAAAGCTTTGGTCATCTTCATCATCCAACATATTCATGTTGGATGTGAACGCGGTCCTTGGACGGACTACGAAGTGCTACCAGGTGTAACGGGGCACCCTGAAGCTTGTACTGGTGACAGTACAAGCTACTTATTCTGATAACAGAATAAGGCGGTGCCTCGTAACTTCACGTACACTCGTACGTGCAGAGGAAGACGGTAAGAAGAAGCGAGTACTTGGTTAGAGTAAAAAGTAGAACTGTATTTATAATAGTTAATGTCTGCAATAAATCACTATTTATCTTCATCTAACTATGTCTAAATACAAATGTGTAAATCAGTTATCTGCTCACCACTCATTGCGTGCGTCTGTCGTGGCGCGTCTTCGTTGGTTGATATAATGGCCTATATCAACCAATTAGGAACTACTTGGAAGTGCTACAGAATATTGTCCTTATGACAATATTCTGAGAATATAACTCTTATAGTTATATTCTATTAACAATTTCTTATAAATTGTTATGTAACGATTCACCCCGTTACATGGTACGTGCGCTGAACATGTTGTATAATATCGTACATGACTGCTCTGCCCTAACGAATGACCGTACTTGCCCTGCATACTGTGTACTCAATTGTTTCGTAGGGTAACATGTCGGGCATTCACATCACTACCAATGCCACCACTGAACATGTACAAACGCGGCAACAGTTTTCCTGTATACAGTCGTTTTGGCTACGGAAAATTTCGTATTCAACAATGCTACGCCTGATGAGCTCCTGTTTTCGGCTTCGCGCCCACATACATACGTCCGTCAATTCCCCAATCTACGACTTCTCGTGACAACGATACCTTGCGACCTCTCGATGGTGAATCGAGTCGTCGTCTATGCTCGCCAGCAGCTCAATTGTGACGTCCAGCTAGAAAGACACCAGAGCTTTTGTTTGCAGCAACACGTAATCGACTTCGATGAACTGGACTGCTTCTGGTGAAGCTTTATTCTTAGGCTGTATCATCTCGGTATCGCCTCTAGCATCACCCCGTGTGCTGCTGCGATATCTTCGACGTTTTGCAGACACCACTTGACTGTGGACTTTCGTGGACTTGCGAAGCTTGTCTAGACGACACGTGTAACGGGGTGAATCGTTACATAACAATTTATAAGAAATTGTTAATAGAATATAACTATAAGAGTTATATTCTCAGAGTATTGTCATAAGGACAATATTCTGTAGCACTTCCAAGTAGTTCCTAATTGGTTGATATAGGCCATTATATCAACCAACGAAGACGCGCCACGACAGACGCACGCAATGAGTGGTGAGCAGATAACTGATTTACACATTTGTATTTAGACATAGTTAGATGAAGATAAATAGTGATTTATTGCAGACATTAACTATTATAAATACAGTTCTACTTTTTACTCTAACCAAGTACTCGCTTCTTCTTACCGTCTTCCTCTGCACGTACGAGTGTACGTGAAGTTACGAGGCACCGCCTTATTCTGTTATCAGAATAAGTAGCTTGTACTGTCACCAGTACAAGCTTCAGGGCGCCCCGTTACAACACGAGCATGATGAACACGAGCGTTTTGTATTCACAACCTAACTAGTATTTACATGAACGTTATGTATTGTTATCTGTCGTACGCAGGTGACTAATAACGGATATGGTTACGAAGGGCAAGCGGTGGTTTAGCCAACTGATTTGAGTTGCAAAATTCAATATACTGCGCAAGAGCTCGAGTCTCGACGTCCGGTGTTGAAACAACTAAAGGCCATGTTGCACGAATCTCCATCTCGAGTAGGCCAGGAGTGACGTTCATTATCTGCAAAAGCGCAAACATCGCTAACTCCAATTCCTGGAATACGACCTTGCTTTCCTGCTCTCCTCTTTTAAGCAGCAATATAGCCTGACGGGGAGTACACAACTCCCATAGATCATAGGCAATCTCTGACACAAAACGAACCTCCGCCTTGACGAGCTGATAGATAAATCTGATAAAGGTATCCCGATTTATGTGGTTTATGACGTCCGTCCCTTTGAAGATGTTCAGACTGGAAGCAACCTCAGGAATTGTCTTCCTTGCATTTACCCAGGTCGTGCAAAGCTCAGTCCGCACTGTCCGTATAAACGTTCTGTGTTCGCGGATACGACCCAACCTCACCAGGAATTCTGAGAGTACGGCTTCGTTGTGATTCAAGGCGCCTGACAACGTCTCTAGCATCGTGAAATCTCCACGTACGGACTCCGAAGGCGTGCCACGCCGCTTCGCGTTATAATTACTGATGTAGTCCTCCAGTTCTCCAACGTCCAGGGTACTATAAATGTTTACTTGAAGCCCTTCCTCCTTGGATGCATCCATCAAGGCACGATTGATCATCAGCTTGGCGACGTCCACGGGATTCACATTCAGCTGTTTTATCATCTGATCCGTCTGCTTATCTACTTTTCTTATGTGAGCAAGAAAAGAATAGTAAATCCATTCGAGTGTCCCCAATCCACCATCGGGTGCGCTCCGTATGCTGATGAGAAGTTGTTTATATTTCTCAGCCAGCTGCCAAGGGAGCTCGCCACCGGTCTCGACATGGTGCTGGATAGCACCCCAACCGTATGCTTGCAACCACTGCGTGTCACATCCGAGTTGCACAGACAGGTCCAGAAAATGCTCATGCACTTGTTGTATCACTTTAGTAGATGCAGACGACATCGCATTCTCAAACAATTCCCCAGGCATCATCCTCTCTTCGCCAGTCGTACGGTCATCTGGGTCCCGCACCCACTCAGCGGGAACGCCATCGTAGCTACCGTCTGGAGGATGGACGCTTGCCAGGGGATTAGCTTCCGTCGTTGCGGGGTCAACGAAAGCCGAGGAGATCACGTGACGAGCTTGAATCACGGTGAGAACCACGAAGGATATCGAGATGAGGCGCATCTTTGGCGGTGACGTTGTCGGTGACGTTGTTGGTCCCAGGGCGAATGAGCAAATTTCCAAGTGCCAGGTATGTCGCACAGTGTGCAGACCGTTGAGCAAGATCCAGTGCCGAGGGCTACCACTCAAATTTTGAAAGGACCAGTACTGCAGCTGCTTCGTTGTTCTGTATGGGAATAAAACGTGCTACTATGATTCTGTCTGAACTTTGTACGAGGCTGAACCCCCACAGAAATAGTGCTGCGAAGCATCGACGTGCATGAACTACGGGCCTTCTAGCTGACGTCATTTTATGTTGGGTCACACCTGATCCGCGCGCATGCATAGTTACCATGTTACGGTACGCAAGATCAAGCGAGTCCGGCTACTTCTACCTCCAGTCAAAAGTCAGCCGATCAGGCGAGCTAGCTGCAACAACAGACAGAGACGAGACCCTCCGGGGGGCCAGAAAACCGGCCCCTCTTCCTTGGGCGGAAAGTCCCCTGTAGTGGGGCCGAGGTAAAACGAGGTAGGGGTTTTCCTTGCTGCGTGCGCTACGGGAGGCAGCGCAGCGTACGACTCGAAAGAGAAGCGGCCCGCAGGATATTCTAGTGCAGGGCACGTCGACGATGGATCACATCGCCCTTCAAAACAAAGAAGTTTCTGTCTTTACGGTCTACCCTACAACTCACCGTTCGCTGATCACGAGCCCAGTCCTACGATGAGAACTTCCTTAAGACCGTGACAAATCCGTTGAGATCCAGTACCGGTCGTTTATGTACAGTAGCACCGAGCCAGATACTCCTCGTCAGTGGTGCGTCCGGGCACATTTGAGCGCGTTGTGAGCCCAGCGAACCTGAAGAGCGAGAAGTCGACTACGCGGTGATGGCCAAGGATTAAGTCAAGATGCCTCGCTGAGACTACCGCAGTGGTAACAAGACTTCTAGTCAAGTGCCCTCTGTTCCTAAATCAAATTGCTCCGAGCGCGAGAGCAGCCCCGCCCTCCGGTTAAGTGCACACAAGAATCTGACCCGGACTTGGTCAACGGGCGGTTCCGTGGGCCCTTTTGAGAGTGCCCTGCCGTGACGCCCGACGTCTTGAGCAGCAGAATGAGAAAGCTAGGAGCAGTAAGACTTTGTCGTGGTAAATGACACGAAGTGGTCACCACTTAACCCGACATCTTTTCAGCGATAAGTAGCTGAAATAATAGACAGTCTGCGCCTCTCTATCTCCGGTCGAAAGTCGGCCGATCCTGCGAGCCATCTTTAGGCTTTGACGGTGTAAGAGCCTGTCAAGTTCTGTCGAAGGCGGTAGGTGGCGTTCGTGCGTGCCTACTAGCTCTCCGCGACCACTTGAGTTGCGTGTCTCTTCTCTTGTGTACCGTGCCCAAAGGCAGTACCGGCCAGCTCGCCGTGCAGACCCTTGTCTCTCAAATAGAAACTCCTTTGTCATATGACGACTGCGTCCGGGGTGAATTCTTGGCAAATTCGTGCACGATCTTGACCTTGGATATTGGCATGCAAGTCGACGCAAAACGGAAGCAGCTAGGGGTTACGTCATGATGGCACGCCATGGTGGATACGGACTTCCAGCCATGAACCCACTGTCCCCTATAAGTAGATTACTCCGACTGTGAGCAGCCCAGTCATCCTGTAGAGCGCACGAATTTTATTCCCAGGCAAGCACCAAGCTTACTGTCCAGATTTGTGGATCTGAAGCAGCGAACGGCGCTGCTATGTATTGTCGCCGATCACTGTGTTGGTCACAATGATACAGTGTTGAATACCATGAGGAGCTCAGTCTGGATCAAGTAGTACGGGCATGTTCGACAGGAGATTGGCAGTTGGCTGAATGCACAACGAGGACGGCAAGCGTACTCTGGACAGTGATGGAGTGAGCAAGATGTTAGAGAGCTTTGAACGACAGGCACCACATTGATATAAGAATGGTCAGTGTCTGCATGCACCTGCTTTATTTCACTATCACGAGGATGCCAACACTTACGAAGACAGGCGGTGAGATCGGTCCTATCTTAAAAAGGCTACTTCCACTTCAACTCCTACCCCCTCGTTTGCACGAGTACGAGCGTCCACGGGCACTATCCTCTTCGTCGATGCTACGCCTTCGTCTTCTTTTTTTCAGGCCCAGTGGCATTACTATCAGCCGATATCGTACTGTCATCCTGTTCGTGTCCCCGCTTCGCCGGATCCACGTCCTCCTCAGCTGCTGGTGCCTCCCCAAGTCCTTTCTTGGCCTTTGCTGCTATACGACCCACCTTGTGCACATATGCATCCATGGGAAACTTTCGTTTGAGGCCGGCCTCATTCATGTAGCGGACTTTGCCAAAGATAGGGCGCTCTCTCCAGCCTTGGTCATGCTTTCCAAATACCCAGGCCACACCTGCATATGAGTTTGGATCAGGTGCATCCAGGGCGTACTTATTATTCAGGACCAACGCTGCGTGAAAACCCTCTTCGGGACTACGCGTCCATTCCAGCAGCTTCTTGCCCCAGTACATGCGCATGTAGCCATGCATCTTACCTGATACCACAAGTTCACGCTGTGCTGCATTCCAAAACCTGTCACCTGTTTGGAAAGACTCCAGTTTGTCACGTGAATACAGCTGGTCACGCTTGTCATCAGCATGCTCTTGCAGCGTGGTCTGCGCGTAGTTCGGAAGGCAGCGAAAAGAGTCGTAGTTGTCCTGATTATAAACCACCAGGTTCACCGAGAGTTCACGACGTACGATGAGTTCCTCTAGGAACGATGCCAGTCCTTCCTTCACACGTGCCACACTTTTTAGCTTATGTGCAGCTAGCGCAACACGAACGGCGCAGATGTGTCCATAGCGTAGGTAAACACTCAAGTCGCTACTAGCGTCCAGACTTGGTTCGTTGCGCTGCGTTGCATAGTTGGCAAGTTTGTCTGGGGTGAGGAATTTCTTGGCACAGGCCGAAGCCGCCGTCTCGCCTCCACGAAAGCACCAGTCCACACTTTTGACGTCTCGGTCAACATCCAGCAGCTCTAGGGTATCAGCAACAGCTTTCGGGCTCGTCACATCTAGCAGCTTGAGCTGTTCGTGCTTATCCAGACTACTCAACAGCGACTTTCCGTCTGTTCGACATGACTGCTCCAACGTCAAGCTCTCCAACGGCACGACAAAGCGATCCAAGTGTTTCGTGATCTTCGGACGGATCGTACGTGCAGCGTACTCTTCCTTATTTGTTGCAACGGCAGCAGGCACGACGACTTCACCTTCCACCTGCACGATGCCAAACCTAGCAGCACTCGAGTGACCCGTTTCGTTCCCATCTTCTCCTCCTCCTCGATCTTCAATAGACGCAACAAGGGTGTCCAGTGCCGAGCGCCACGGACGCAAATAAGGGCGATCTGTCACTACTAGAGCAGCTTGACGAGCACACACCTCGAGCAGCTCATTACGAGCGAGGCCGTCGCCCTTGGTCTTGTCTTGCTGCTGTTTCGGGTGGGTATGATGAAACACATCAAAGCTCATCCCTCGACTTGCAAGTCGTTCATAGGCATCCGCCAGACCTTCGAGCGCAAATCGCGCGTGACGTTCGGTAACGAACGCATGTGCACTCGCATCTTGGCGAGCTTCAGCTTTCCATTCGTCGTCGTGGTCACCTTCAGACTTGGGTAATGGCCGTAGCACGGACCGGTCAGGGAAGAGATAGACGACGTGGAGAGGCAGCTGGAGCTTGTTGGCAGCAGCTACTGCATACTCGAGCGCGTAGTTGTGTTTCGTACGCACGGACGTTTGCATCCAATAGAGCAAGTAGCCGCCAGTAGGGAGAGCTTTGGGGCCTTTGGAGAGCCACTGGATACGCTCGTGGTGGAGGCCCTTGGGCAACTGGATCTTCTCCAGAGCTCGGCACACGTTCACCATCACACGAGTCTTGGCTCTTGCTATCTGTTCGTTGGTCAGGTGGTGATTGGCTTGACTTGCTTGGTGATGTATTCACAACTGACAGGGAGTTGGGAGCGTGAAGGTGGGTCGTTGGCTTCACCTGTCCCTCCGCGGGCTCAGTTTCTGGGATCGTGGGACCGGATTCGTCGCGTGAGACATAGACGATGGGTTGGTTGTCATGGGATGGCTGGGAAGTGGGATGGTGATGTCTCGACTCTGGTAACCCACCCGACACACTGCCAACATACGGCAGTTTCAGCCTGCAGTTTTAGGCACAACTTTCATGCTTAAATTGAGTGAGTATACTTAGTAGACAGAAATAGCTAGGGATGGAAGATAAGCTGATCTTAAGGTGATGCATGGGGGCAGTTTTCGGCCGTGATGAGGGACATGGTGCCGTGCTAACACAATGGATGGGATGAGGAGCAAATGAAAAGAGGAGCGCGAGATTGCGTTTGGTCGAGACAAACAGGTTGGGAACGAAAAGTGTCCGCGAGAAGGTCGTTCAGCATCGACGGACGACAGCTCGGAACTTTAATCGTACTACCTCATCTACGGGCCAACGTCCCTGTGACGGTAGCTAGGCCATGCTGCGTGCTCTCTGCTATTGACTTGGTCGTTGCACCATTTCAATACTGAGCCTTGCTATGACGATCCAATTGCTTCGTGCACATCTGTTGTGGTACGAGAGCAACACACGCGCCACCGACAATGAGCTCGAAGTACACAGATCGTTTTTGCACATCGTGTGGAGTGATATACTCACTGCGTTGTCAGCATGTGTCAGTCTGTATGAATAAAATTGATCCTTACGTATAAATGTTGCTCGTGTCATGACCATGTATCCCTCGCTTGTTATGCTTCTGTGAAGGTGCAGCTACCACTTGACACAGCAGCCTTGCAAGTTATAGCTGGAGCACTGTTACCTCATCAAACGTCATCAAACTACGTACAAGGCAACAGAAATTATCCTATAAAGCTCGTGGAGGAGACGGGTGCTGTCATCGTGTCGTAATCGTCCACATGCGACGTCAACTACTTGTCGACCGTCAATACCGAAATGCGAGACCGACTATATCGGGTCAAATAGTGGCTGGCACACTTCGCTGCCTGGCGTCCATCACGCCTTGCAACCGCATATCTCTATTACCAACCACCGACATTCCTTGTACGCCGTCGCTGCTCTCGACTCCTGAGACTTGAGGCAGCTAATTGTTCATCTAACGGGCCATATCCTGCAGCTGGCGGCCGATCAAATAGCGCTCATTACGAATCGACTCGCTCAGGTCGGATAGCCATTGGGTGACGAACGAATGCGAGCGGGCCAACACAAACACACCGCCGACACAGAACGCACAAGTGGCAAATGCAGTCTTCTCGAAGCCGGCGTTCTCGGAGGATACAACCAGCAAGACCACGGAGGATAACAGCCACGGCAGTACTAGCATTCCAACTAGGAACGCCACCATGGGCAGCAATACGTTTTCCTGAAAATATGCCACATCGAAACACTTCTCTCGAATGTTGTCTTGACGAAGCCGCATGGCTTCACTTTCGTGGATTGTCACACTAAACTGGAGTTGACGATAAGACTTGCGCAACGCGGCAATGAAGCCAACCGACTCAGTAGCAGCAGCAGCACCCTCCTCATGCAGTGGCCTCTCCTCTTCTTCCAACTCATCGTCATTTACATCGTTCCCAAACAACTCATTCTCTTCGTCCACGTCCAGGAATCCATCCTCGCCTGGTGCTAGCTCGTCTAGGGCTGCTTGTCGTTGTAATCGGTGTCCATTCATGTGCTTCGTTCGAAAGCAGCAGACCAGCCAAGCAAATAGATTGAGCACCAAATAGCCCACCAACAGCATTTCTACAGCCGTAGCATTGGCGCTCACGACGCACAAAGACATCAGCTGGCCCACGAGAAAAGGACACACGATTGACCAGCCCACGACACAAACTACGACGTTTGCAGGCGCTATGTTACGAACAGCGTATCCGCGTTGAATCAAAGCCTGATCCACACGGTCTTCCGGGAGCATCAAAATGTTGAGAGCATGAATGCTTTTCACAAGATACCATACAATTTGCATGCCAGCCGCCATTACGAGCGGGTCATGGCTGATCCCAGTCACGCGCTCAAACGGACCCATGCAGATACGCCCGACGTAGAGTGATCCAAACAAAAACGTTCCAATCACTACGACGCATACTGCCCACATGAAAACTGCCAGCCCGGCAAGCCGAACCCAAAGATAAGATGGTCTTTTTCTCGGAAGCAGTGAGTACTCGACGAGTTGCGGATCATCCAACCCATCCTCGGGCCACGGCAAGTATCGGTGACCATCGACACGCAATTGTTCAGGAGGTAGCTGCGCACGGGGATGGAAATGGAGAGGTGGTGGTGGCAGCACCACTACTTTTGACTCGCGCTGGCCATTTACAACAGACTCCAACTCAGTTTGTGGTAGCAGGAAGTCTACCAGACCCAACCACTTGCTCACAAACACAATTCCAAGATGTTGAAACCTTCCAACGGCATTCTTTGCGTGCTCCAACACACTGAGCACAACCACGTGAGCGGCAAATAGCTCCAGTGGCACTTGAATGTCCGGGCTGAAGTGCTGAAAGCGGAGCGTCAGCGGGAGGCATGAGGGCATGAGACCACTCGCAATACGAACAGGAGCATGCACAAGAACCAGTAGTAGCACAGCATAGATCACGAGTGACAGAATCATACGGCGGGCATGCTTGACGCACCTCTCACTCAAAAGCGTACGCAAAAGGTCCGGGTGGTCTTCCTGTGGCCGAATAACTTTGGCTAAAATGTTTGGGTGCGCCACTTCCCGCAGTTGCAGGACGGAAACCGTCACACAAAGCATGAAAGTAATACCCAGCACCCAGTGCACCATCAGGGAGCAGATCATATTCTGCATGCAAAACGCGACGCGGTCTTGCACAGATGCCACGAACAAGTGAAGTGTCGCGAAGTCGATGCAGACTCCCAGGATGATGGGCAGAATCACCATTTTGAGCAACAATAACGTAGACACCTTTACGATTGCCGTCAGACAGCGCAGAGCCCATAGCAGACCATCCATGAGAGGACGATGGATGTAAGACGAAGCGGTCCGGACCATAAATCTCCATAGCACGATCGTCAAGCAAATAGACAGATAACCCATCACACACGTGCACAAATCCACAAGCTGCAAGCAGTCGCCATCCAGCTTGGCCGTCTCAATTGATTGCAGCAGTGTCTTGACGAGAAACGAACCGACTGACAAATCCGCGTCAGCTGCAGATTCAAGCGTGGTAAAAGTAATAACTGCTGCAGGGGCAACCGGTAACGATGTAAGGATTCTGGCACCAGCGGACAGCAAAGTGCTACCCAATGTGTACGGAATAAATGCAAACAAGCCGAGGTAGGCACCGTTAAACGCGAGCAGCCACGATACATTGCGGAAAAGCACCACAAAGTCACCACGTAGTCCAAGAAGCTCGTCCATCGCGATGTTAATTTCCATATGCTCAAAGTCGTCTTCCCATTCCCGCTCGTTCATGTTTGCTGGCAACGGATTCCCACGGTTCTGTGCGACTCCAGGAACACCCTCATGTCCTCGCTCCCGCTCCATATCTGGTACGTCACGCAGTGGTCGACGTTGCCGCAGCTCATGCTGCGGCTCCGGCACTGGATCAACATCATCAACTAAAGGCATTTGTCCAAGATCTCGATGAAAAGCACCAGCAGCACGTATCTCTCCATGCTGCCCCGCCCACACTTCTTCGTCCGACGATTCATCACCAGAACCACCTTGCCCGTCCACATGACCCAACGGTCTTACACCCTCAAGTACAGGGCGCCCACGTCTCGGCTCAGCTTCTTGCTCGTTCTCCACAACCTCGTCCACTACAACACCTCTTCCCAACGGCAGACGACGGACCCCCGGTCGTCCCTCCTGCCGCAACTGCTGCCGCTGCTGCCGTTGCTGCTGCAGCACGTCGTCCGCTGCCATCTCCTCTTCAATGTGGTCCAAGTGGAACCGCAGAAAGTCGGCGAACGACATGAGTGCCAGGAACGAAAAGACAATGCACACAATCAAGATAATGCCCGAGAAAACGTCCGCCACAACGTGCGGTCTATCCAAGCGTTCAGCAAAGCTGACGTTCACCATAGCCGAGGCGCGCAGCAGCCACATGCGGTAGAGCCAGCTCGTGCACCAGGGCGCCACAGCGAGCCACAGCACGAGCACGAGCGCAGCGCGCAGCGCAAACGGCAGCCACTTGAGCAGCACAACGCGCAGTCCTGTGCCCAGCAGCTCCGTCCAGGGCAACACGTCGGGCGCGTTCACGTCATAGAGCGGCGTGAACGTGAACTCGTGGCCGCAGAGCTCGCAGAAGCTCTTGCCCGAGTGCTCGAGCCACTGCTCAAGGCAGTCCGAGTGGGTGAAGCGGATGCTGCCGCTGCACTTGCAGGGCGCAAAGAGGCGGCGCTGGGGCTCGGCCTCGCCGCGGCAGACGCGACACTCGGCCTCGTCTTCGTCTTCGATGTGGTTGGGCAGCAGCGGCGGCGCAGCGGCGGCGTCAGGAGCGTCTTCCGCAGGTCGCAGGTCCACCATGAGATAGTGGGGATGAGAGAGCGATAGGCGCGGGACTGACGGTCGCGAGCGGGCGCTGGCGGCAGAAGGGTCTTCAGTTTCAGCGAATCAGATGTCGCGAAAGTCGGCGCAGGCAGACTTGACTTGACTTGACTATTCAAACGGGCGAGCGAGGGGGGGGCGGTGGGGTTCGTATTGATTCTTTTGAGGTGGGTATTGACGAATCAGAACCATGCGTGGAATGAGATGCGGCCTAACGACTGGAAGAGCGTTCGTCCTATTCTTTGCCACGGTATATTCTCTGAGAAGCTGCTGTCGGATGTGTGACTGAAAATCTGATTACTCTTTTGTACCGATTGAGGCACACTGTTGTTCGTGGCCGCAATGTGCGCAGTCTGATTATGTACTTGTCTGGTAAGAGAACACGACTTGACTGGCTGTAAACCTCCTGGTGACTAAATGTCGACCAGCGATGCTGCACCGCTTTTGCCATTGCTTATGACTACGAATGTTGCTGTACGAAATGATGCTGAGTCCATTCACTACTGCAAGTGATGATTATAGAGATTAGACACGTAAGGGATGAATGGCTAAACCGGTGATTTCATCGTGTGCTACCACGTATTCGCGATGAATGCGTGTGTTCCTCAGGGATATGGTGAGCTAAACTATCGAATGTCCGATCGCTACGCACACAGAGGAAACCCAGACTACGAACACGGTGTTTCAGATAGAAACAGTAAGTGTGTATTTTGATGAAGATCCGATCATCAACCTAAATACGAGAGGTCGTCTGCTCCACACAGCATTTGTCTTGTAGCCCACGCATACACATGCACTATAGACCACCGCGGTCTACTCTTCTTGTAACTGCAGCTCAAGACCCACATCAAGATCGTTAAACTTGCAACACGAACTTCCAATACCGTGAATGAAAATGATCGTTGAAAACTTACCCAAAAGTGTCGTGAAGACTGTGCTTATCGAACACTCGTGCTGATTGTCAAGATAGGCCACTTGTAACGGGGTGAATCGTTACATAACAATTTATAAGAAATTGTTAATAGAATATAACTATAAGAGTTGTATTCTCAGAATATTGTCATAAGGACAAATATTCTGTTGCACTTACGAGTAGTTCCTAATTGGTTGATATAGGCCATTATATCAACCAACGAAGACGCGCCACGACAGACGCACGCAATGAGTGGTGAGCAGATAGTTGATATACACACTTGTATTCAGACATAGTTAGATGAGGATAAATAGTGATTTATTGCAGACATTAACTATTATAAATACAGCTCTACTTTTTACTTTAACCAAGTACTCGCTTCTTCTTACCGTCTTCCTCTGCACGTACGAGTGTACGTGAAGTTACGAGGCACCACCTTATTCTGTCATCAGAATAAGTAGCTTGTACTGTCACCAGTACAAGCTTCAGGGTGCCCCGTTACACCTGGTAGCACTTCGTAGTCCGTCCAAGGACCACGTTCACATCCAACATGAATATGTTGGATGATGAAGATGACCAAAGCTTTCACGCTACGCGTGACGGCTACTCCCATTTGAGCGATGTCGAATGGGATGCGGTTGAACGGATGGGTACAACCATCGGCATCCATGCTGTTAGCGTCATGCTAGAGGCTCTCATTAGAGATGCCCAACATGCTACTATCGCCAAGTTCATTCAAAATGAACTTGACGCAGAACGCGAGAAAGTAGCCTTGCTTCACCAACAAGGTTCTCAACAAGCAGAGTTGTTGAGAGAACAGGGTGCTCAACAGTTTGAACTGTTGAGACAGCAGCAGGCTGCTGCCGGTGGGTCGATGCACTCGCGTCAACCCCGAAACCTTGAAGATTGACATCTCCAAGTATAGGGGAGTCGAAGAGGACTCCCTCTTGAGATGGTTCGTCGGATGGATGACGCCATAAGGGCGCGTCGCATCGACGATGGGGATATGCAAGTTGCATTTGCCCAGTCAAATCTGGCAGGACGTGCCAAGACTTGGGCACTGGGGCTCAAGTTGCACGACCCATATGCGTTTGGGTCGTTGGAAGTCTTCAAGTCGCGGCTCAGACAAACGTTTGAACCGCCTAGAGCTGAGTTCAGAGCTCGAACCGAACTCTTGAAGCTCAAGCAGGGTAAGCGTGATGTGCACGCTTACGCGCAACATATACGACATCTCACGAGTTGTATAAGTTCCAACCCGGTGGATGAACACACGTTGGTTTCGGTGTTCATGCAGGGTCTTGCTGATGGTCCCGTCAAGACTCACCTGTTCCGACTCGAGCTAGATTCACTAGAACAAGCCATTTCCATTTCGGAACAGGAAGACTTCAGTCTGAGACAGGCTCGCGCCAGCTCGACATCATATCGTCAACCGAGACGATATGACAACGGAGGTCCAGAGCCGATGGAACTCTGTTATGTAGAGAGCGAGAAGGCTCGCTCTACAGACTACAAGAAGTTGCAGAGATGCAACAGATGTCAAAAGACAGGACACTACGCTTACGAGTGTAGTGCCCCTCGTCCAGTGTCTCGCAACACTGGGCGTAGTGACCGTCCACCCATGAGAAAGGGGCAGGGACGCGGATCCGCTGTTGGTGCAAAGACGCAACAACGGGATGGAACATCAAAAACGGACAGGATCAGTAGGTGCGGAGCACCCTACTGGTCCAGCAACGTCAAGAGAATTTGTAGGCCTCTTGATGAAGGTTGCTCCCAACACACAAACATTGTGCGTTGCTGCTCTAGGTAATGAGATCTCACTCATTACCTTGAAACTCGAAGTGACAAATAAGTTGTCCCTTCGAGCTCTAGTCGATTGTGGGGCGTCCAACAATTTTGTGCGACGCCAATCGCTAGAAGATGGTCACTTTAAGTTCAGTGAATGTGACACACCTCCTACGAGGATGACGGTACGTCTTGCGACAGGCGCATCCGTAACCGTCATGAAGCGTATAGTGAAGATTCACTATACGCTAGAAGATACCCAATATGACGATGACTTTGTCGTATTGGATTTGGATGACAAATTTGATGTCATCCTTGGAATACCGTGGCTCAGAAGGTACGAACCACGGGTAAACTGGCAACATCGAACAGTAACGATGCCTGCCGCTTGTTCATCAGATGGCCATCTGATGAACGTTTTGGAGCGTTCACAAGCGTGTGGATGTACTACGAGTGAGTGCGATGGCCTCACTTGTGGTACGGTCGTTAGAACGACTGCACAAAACCTTAGTGTAACAAACATTTACACTTCGGAGCAAAGTTCCGGCGGCTATGAGGAAACACAGGCTGCGCCGAAGGTCCACCACTCGAATAAGTCGGGTGGACTGGGACAAAGATGTATCCCTAGCGGGGAACATCTAGAAGAGAAACAATCGATCGCTCAAGTTAAGCGAAACGATAATCCTAGATCGACTGGAGAGTCTTTCGTAGAGGATCTCGCTGTGGTTGCGCAACCCCAGCTAGAGGAAGTAAAGGGAATAAGTCCCAAGATTACAAATACGGCGGAAATAAGTTCCCCGAAACCCGCGGGAATAAGTCCCCGGGAAGCCGAAGGAATAAGTCCTTCGAAGCCTGAGGGAATAAGTCCCCAGGAAATGACAGAGACATTGAATGTCATAGTCAATAACGGATCAAGCGTAGGCGCTTATACACTTGATCTGATTGCGCCTCCGAAGTTGACTTCGGAGATCACTCAGTTGCCAACGCTCGAACATAAAAGGTTCTTGCGTGATCTGCGTAGTGGCAAAGTCAAGCAGATCTGCGTACTCGTCGCTGACGACGAGTGTGTAGCCGACATAAAGTCAGCAACAGTGTTTATTGAGAACGAGAGAGTTCTCAGTAGTTCATCTATGGACGAGAGTGTCCTTAATGAAAAGACACGAGTTGAGCGATATGACTCTCAATCGTGGGAATCGCTCAAGACCAATCCTCTCTATGAAGATTTGGTTGAATTCAAGGATGGATTCCCTGAAACTGTTCCGTGCAAATTACCGAAGGATAAAGGTATTCGACACGAGGTCGAGCTTAAACCAGGCTCGAAGTACTGTGTCATGAAGCAGTGGCCACTGCCTCGTGAACAAGTACTTGCGATCGACAAGTTCTTTGCCGATCGTTTAGCTGCGGGCCGTGTGAGCGAATCAGTTTCCCCACACAGCTCTCCGACCTTCTGTGTGCGAAAAGCAACAGGAGGGTGGCGGATAGTGCATGCGTTCAACAAATTGAACGCTGCAACGGTACCGGCTCAGACGCCGATACCGAGGAAGGACGTAATCATTGATGGTATGTCAAAGAGTACCATCTTTTCGTCCATGGATTTGATGGATGGCTTCTATCAAATCCTTATGCGAGAACGGGATATACCCTATACCGCAGTTAGCACGTCTAGCGGCATGCTCTGGGAATGGCTAGTAATGCCACAAGGGCTTAGTAATGCCCCTGTCACGTTCAACAGATGTGTATAACATCTGTTGAGACCAGTACGAGAATTCGCGCCGAGTTATTTCGATGACGTATTCATCCATAGTCGAGCTATGGATGGAAAGTCGGACGTTGAGGTTCACAGGTACCACGTCCGACAGGTTCTTACAATCATGCGAAAGCATCAATTGTTTTCAAACCTCAAGAAGTGTATATTTGCAGCAAGCGAAATACCACTTCTTGGGTGCATCGTTGGTAAGAACGGTGTACGTCATGATCCCGAAAAGATCAAGGCGATCACCGACTGGCCTGTGCCGGTTGATGTCAAAGGTCTTCGAAAATTCCTTGGGCTAGCGGCGTATTTGCATAAGTATTCACGCAATTACGCCGAGATGACTGTACACCTCTCTCGTTTGTTGAAAAAGAACGAGAGGTGGTTATGGAACGCTGAATGTCAGCGCTCCTTTGATGGTATCAAGCAGAGCTTGACACAATCCCCAGTCCTAGCAATAGCCGATCAGGACAGGCCATTTCATGTGGTCTGTGATGCCAGCGATTTCGCAATCGACTGTGCATTAATGCAGTACGATCTTGGAGGCGTTGAACGCGTCGTCTGCTATCAGTCGCGTCAGCTGCAACCAGCTGAGCGGAACTATCCAGTGCATGACAAGGAACTCCTTGCCATGAAGTATGCACTCGCGAAGTTCAGAGTCTATCTATTAGGAGATAGACCCTTCATTGTTTACACTGACCATGCGTCATTACTCACGGCAGTGAACAGCCCGCACCTTTCACAACGAACGGCGCGGTGGTTGTCATTCTTTGCAGAATACAACTTTACGGTCGAGTACAAACCAGGACGACTTAATGTCGTCGCTGATGCACTCTCACGTCGTCCCGACTTTGAACCAGTCGCGAATCCCAACAGTGAGACAGTCACTGTTGCGGTTATGACGTCCTCAGTACCATCTACAACGTTGTATGATGATGTGAGGCGGGCATGCGCTCAAGATGGTGAGATTGTGAAGTTGTTGACACATCTCTCACAGCCATCTCGAGAATCGTTGAAACGATTGTCGTCTGCGTATCGATCTGCATCAGATCGATACACTACTCGCAACGGGTTACTGTATTATACAGCCGTTTCTGGTGACACACCACGTGTTGCCATTCCAGATGATATTGATCTGCGTTTGCGGATCATGTTCTAGTATCACGATGCTCCTATAGGAGGACATCGTGGCCGGGAGAAAACATATCTCACGGTGAGTCGAGACTTTTACTGGCCCCGCCAGTATCAGTTTGTGCGAAAGTATGTTCGCGCATGCGAAGTCTGTCAACGAGTGAAGTCAAGTCCTTCACTGCGTGCACCTTTACAGCCTCTACCGGTTCCGGCTGAGTGCTGGGAATCCATCTCAATGGATTTTGTCTTCGGGTTACCCAAAGACGCACGCGAAAATACGGGTATTCTCGTATTTGTTGACAGATTCAGCAAAATGGTACACCTAGTGGCTGTACCAGAGTCAATCACGGCAAGTGGCTGTGCTTGTGTCTTTATTGACACCATCTTCCGACTTCATGGGTTGCCCCGTAAACTCGTATCGGACAGAGATCCACGATTCACTGCTGATTTCTGGCGTTCCGTGTTCAAATCACTCGGAACGCGCTTGAAGATGTCGACATCTGATCATCCAGAGTCAGATGGTCAGACGGAACGTGCCAATCGTGTCCTTGAAGAGATACTTCGAGGATACGTACACTCCTTTAAGAGTTGGAGTGAGTTTTTGCCAATGGTAGAGTTTGCCATTAACAACTCGGTGCATGCGTCCACGACACATACACCGTTTTACGTGAATGGCTTACGCCATCCGCGTTTACCCACCTTACTAGAGTGTAACTCTGGTTCAAGGGGGGAGGGACTCGCGCGAGCAAAAACCGAATTGGTTCACGCTCATCACGCTCTGACGAAGAGGTCATTGCGTTTGATGCCGATATCGATAACATCGATATCGAAGAAGATGATGCCAGTGAGAGTGCGGAAGCCCTCACTGAAGAAAAGATTGATGTTGCTGCAGTGCACTAACAGCGCACTGAAGCTAACGAGTCATCAGATGAGTTCATACTGGCTCGTGAAACGGTAGTCCGTTTTGTGCAAGACTCCATCGCCAAAGCGGTGGATCAGCAAAAGCAAAACGCTGACAAGAATGGAAGGGCAAACACTCGTTTATTTAATAAAGGCGACTTAGTCCTACTGTCTACGGTTAATCTACCAAAGCATGTAGTGACTAACTTGGGTAGCAGTAAACTACTACCCAAGTACATCGGCCCATTTCGTGTATTGCACCGCCTAGGCAATGCATACACGATCGAGTTTCCACGTAAGATGCGAACGCATCCCACGTTTTACGTTGTCGGCTTAAGCCGTACCATCAGTACGCTGCTTCTTCCGATGAAGAACGCCCTTGCGCTCAAGCATCTTACAGAGAGCCTTGTGCTCCCGATGATGGGCATCGACAAGGGTCTGAAGAGCATTTATCTCATCCCGAGACCGATCAACAATCCCACGAGCTACCCTTAGCTCGTCACGAAGAGATTTCAGAGCTCTCTCGTTCTCAAGCTAAGCAAAGGCAAACTCAGCTCGATGCTTCGAGACAGTGTCCGCCATTTGGAGACGCCTGTCCCGATCATGTTCGAGATCGCCGCGTAACCCTTGCGTTACGCGATCAAAGAAGCTCTCGGGGATACACGCTTCCCCAAGATAGTTTGGGGAGCGTCTTTCCTCATCTTCCACCTCCATTAGAGGACTCTCGCGGTGGCCAGCGCCATCTAGTTGAGCAGCTGTTGAACCACCGCGACGCAAACGGACGTCGGACGAGTTATCTCGTCCGGTGGCGCGGCTGTCCCCCGTCCTGGGATACATAACTGGTGATTGACGTACTGGGTCTGGTTGAGCAGTACGACGCGGCACATCTTGTGCCGCAGAAGGACCACCGGAGAAAGTCTTCCCGGCACGGTCGTAAAGGGATTTCAGGTTGTCAATCCCTTCGTACATCTCAGTAGAGATACGTACGCGCCACCACGGGCTGGTAAGGAGGTAAGCTTCCTTAGGTGCTCGTGCAGAGTTGTTCACACAACATGGGCACGAGTCTCCCCAAGAGAGGCAGGGTAATAAGCTCTCCCTTGACAGACGATGCAGCTTGTAGCGTGCACCTGTCGGGGTTCGCTTTTCAAACTTATCACGAGCTTTGATAAGTTTGTCGTTCCAAGCGTCACGACCTACATCCTCAAGGTTATGGATGTAGGCTTTCCACGCTTGAAGTAGTGAGAGACCATCACGCTTGTAATTCCCACTGTACCATCGATGTCTAAAGAAAGCATCGATGAAGAATTCATTCTCAGCGCGATAGTTCTTCGCGCTGGGGTCAAGGTGATGGATCCTTGAGGAATCGAATAATCGTGTTCGATAACGATCACTCGTCGTCGCCGACAAGTGATCCATGACAGATTTGGGAGGCATCCATGCCTTCTTCTCAGGAGCGGGACGCAAGACATTGCGGTCCCGCTCTTCCTGCGACGTGCCGACAGAAGTACTGGCACCTCGTTGCGAAGTGGTGTACATAGGAGAACCGACACCACTGTTAGCGCCCGAGTCTCGCGACCTCGAGCGCCTTCGCTTCGGCGATGGTTCATCTGAGTCATCAGATGAACCAAAGATGCTACGACGCATAGCATCATCCATGCCACGCTTGGCAGGCGGCTTGGATTCGATTGCCGTCGATACGGATCCGTCTTCCGTATCAGGAGAGTATGAGACTCCGAGCTCATACTCTGTGAAGACGTGAGTGTATTCATGACCAGCGCCTGCATCACCAAGTGACACAGGCTGAGTCGCTTCAGCAACCGATGAGACGTCAGTCGCTATGGTTTCTGCTTCGGTGTCCGCACAGAGACGTGCGGACGCGCTCCCGGCGGCCTTGCTCGCGCATCGCATGGGCTTGTTAACCGTGCGATGAGATTTTGGAAAGTGGACTCGGACCAACAAGTGCAAACCCTGTCCCAAATGATTTGGGACGAGTATCCATTTAGTCAATCAGTCACTAAAGTGACTGATGGTTAAGGGGGAGGGTGATGTAACGGGGTGAATCGTTACATAACAATTTATAAGAAATTGTTAATAGAATATAACTATAAGAGTTATATTCTCAGAATATTGTCATAAGGACAAATATTCTGTTGCACTTACGAGTAGTTCCTAATTGGTTGATATAGGCCATTATATCAACCAACGAAGACGCGCCACGACAGACGCACGCAATGAGTGGTGAGCAGATAGTTGATATACACATTTGTATTCAGACATATTTAGATGAGGATAAATAGTGACTTATTGCAGACATTAATTATTACAAATACAGTTCTACTTTTTACTTTAACCAAGTACTCGCTTCTTCTTACCGTCTTTCTCTACACGTACCAGTGTACGTGAAGTTCAGAGGCACCGCCTTATTCTGTCAACAAAACAAGAAGCTTGTACTGGTGACAGTACAAGCTTCAGGGTGCCCCGTTACAGAAAAGGTAGTGGCCGAGATCACTTTCCGGGCAGTGACCGACTAGCGCAAGGCAGTAATTTGGTCGACTTTGCAATTTTTTCGGCCTCTCCACGCTCTTCACAATCGATCACATTCTATGGACGGTAGCTGCAATACCGCCCCCTGAATACTGAGATGATTTTGACGTATTGGATTGGAATAAGCTTTCGTTTATTAATTCCAGGCCATTCGTGATATGCGATGGAACAATGTTGTCGGTATTATAGTCCAGCTTAATGAACAAAAAAAATAGCTGCAAAAATAAATAAAATTACATCGGCATTACTAGGTAAATTATTTCTTTTACAAACTACTTTAACACATCAGCTAAAAGTTGCAATGAATCAAAATTTCTACAACGTTAGGTCCTCATCTTCTTTGTCGTGCCAGCTAAACACGACGACGGAGCCGCGGCGGCTCAGTGGCTGCGTACGACACATAGGTACAACTGGGAC